AATATCTATCTATCTATCTCTCTATCTATCTGAATATCTATCTCTCTATCTATCTCTATCTATCTGAATATCTATCTATCTCTATCTGAATATCTATCTATCTATCTATCTCTCTATCTATCTCTATCTGAATATCTATCTATCTATCTATCTATCTATCTATCTGAATATCTATCTATCTATCTATCTGAATATCTATCTATCTATCTGAATATCCATCAATCTATCTATCTATCTATCTCTATCAGAGATATTGTAAGGTATGTATAATGTGCAATATGTAGACTGTCTCTTGCTGTAGCATGTTCCCAACAAATTAAGCAGCCTTAGGCATCGAATTGCATTCAGGGAAAGCATAATTACTCTGCGCACGTCTGTTTGCTTTCGCAGGGACGCAGCATTCTGCGTGTGTTTTTCCTGCATCTAGTATTCATGACTGTTCAGATGAACGCGTGTATATCTGCCTGCATCTGTGGCTGCGATTTACACGAATGGCTGCTCTTGACCTCTGGGCAAGTTTCCATGTACAGGTACAAACTAAGCTGAACAGGACCATGGGATTTTACAGTCCGGTAAACCCCGACTGGGACTCCACAACAATAAACCTCCATTACAAATCAAGCAGGAAACATCTGAACCAATGAGACTGTGAGAGCGACGACTCATTTGTATAGCACTATAAATACACCATCATAGTTGAACACTCACTAATAAATCGGTTCAAATGTCAGCATGTAAAAACCAATGCGTGGAAATCTGCTTGTATACTGTACACTGGTGAAGGGAAAACATCAATAAAATTCATGAACTTGTAATAAAAATACTCACCACTCGTTTTTCTCTGAAGTCTATTCCCACTGTGGTGATGAATTTGGAGTTGAATTTGCCGTCTGTGTACTGATATAAGAAGCTGGTCTTTCCCACCCCAGAGTCCCCCAGCGCGAGGAACTTGATGAGATAATCATAGTCCCCATCAGACATACTGAGAGCTGAACGAGGACCTGTGATGAACAAACACATAAAAAAGTCAAAATTGCAAGATATAAACTCAGAATTCAGACTTTTTTTTCTTGCAATTCCAAGTTTACATCTCACAATTCTGATTTTTTTTCTCTGAATTCAGAGTTTATATCTCACAATTCTGTTTTTGGCCACAGAATAAAAAATAAAAAGGTAACTGCAACTTTTTATCTCACAATTCTGACTTTTTCTCGCAACTGGGATATTATATCTGACAATTTGATACAAACTCCGAATTGCAAGAAAAAGTCTGAATTGTCAGATAAAAATATTACTTTTTTTTTTTTAATCCTGTGAAGGAAACAAATTTCCATACTTTTCATTTAATTTTAAAGTTGTAGTAATTTTGTTGTGTTTTTTCATTTTTATCCGGTTTTTTTTTTATATATGTCTTCATAGTTTTTAGTTTTAGCTTATTTACTTTGTTATTTTAGTACTTAAACTCAACTAAACAAAAATTAGTTTTTTGATATTAGATTTTATTTAAAGGGGTCATATGATGCGATTTCAAGTTTTCCTTGTCTGTTCCCCTTTCGGGCTTGAACTGATGGTAAAACTAATGACATTATTTACTGTCTTTACATTTATTTTGAAAGCTGAAGCTGCGATTATGGTAAGGGGCATTACATTTCCGACGAGTGCTTGCGGTGTTCGGCCAATCACAATGCACTGGGTCAGCTGGCCAATCAGAGCAGACTGCGCTTGTCGGAAGGAGGGACTTTGTAGAAAACGAAGCGTTTGAGAGAGGCGGGGCATAGAGGACCTACAATAATGTACAGTATTTGAAAAATAATGTGTTTTTTGAACATTAAAGCATGTCAACATATTCTGTTACACCAAATACACAAAATAATGATCTTTAAAAAAAGCATCATATGACCCCTTTAAGCTAATGTTTATTTCATTTCAAGTAATGAAAATATTTTTTTTATAGTTTAAGTTAACATTAATAACCCTGACACAAACATTCCAGAACTCTTACAAACAAAACACTACCAACAACTTGTGAAGTTTCATGAAGTGGACATGAAACTTTCTTTCACAAATTAACTTCCACAGCATGGCAGGATAATCAAGATTCATGCTGACTTTAGAAAGACACCCAAAATGAACCCATTAGTTCCAACCAGACCAGCATTTTTCAAGCTTTTCGGTTAAAATGAAGAAAGACAGACGTTTTTATTGATGCAACAGTGCTGATTCAGTAACAGGAAACAAAAAGAAGAATTTGAGACTATTGCTAAAGTGTTGCATTTCTATTCCTGAACAGTAAATATTCTTCTGAAACCTCTTTTTTTGTCATTGATCATGAAGTCCATAAACCCTGGAGCCTAAACGAGGAAACAGACTTTGAAAAAGCAGCTTTTCATACTTGAATGCATCCACACAACGGCTTTTATTTCCCCTCACATTTGTCACCGCGGCTACAATACTGAGACATTCATCAGTTAAAAATTAAAGTGTTTCACAACCTATAATATTTAACTCAGAGGCTGCACCCGAGACAATCATTATCTGTCATTTTAGGCTTCGAAATGTTGTCATGCTCTATTTTTATCTGTCAGTAAAGTACTGTAAGTACTGCTTGGTACTGAAGCATTTTTATTTTAAGACATTCTGTGACAAGAGCTTAAGTCAAGTCTGATCAAGCTCCATGTTTCTTTTCTTTTTGTTTCTGCTCATACATTGTGAAGAAGTCAACGTATTGTAATCTGGTCTCTCCATTTAAAAATTACACAAAACCTCATTATAAGCGCTGAAAATTACAGTAAGTTTTTACAGCACATCTCACAAGATCAATGAAGGTTCCTCAATGAAAGGTGAAGTCCCGCGCAAGTTTAAGCAGTATGGGAGCTTCTAAACCTGCTCTATGATTTCATAATGTCTGGATACACATCTTGTCTTGACACGCTCACAGAGTTAGGGAGAGGAAAGCGTAGCTCGGAGTTTCTCAGACCGCATTAAAGCAGATCATATGACTGCAGAAAGAGCGTAAAAACTCAAACAAAAGGCCACATTCTTTCACGCGGCAGCGCTAAAAGCCATCCTGACCATAAGCTGCTTAACGTCTGGGACCGACCCAAGCACCCGGATCGATCCAGAGACCTTTCTTGAGCTCAACTATAGGAGAGTCGACTACAAGTTCAACACAAAACCTGATGCTATTCACAATCAGTCAGATGGTGGAAAACAGAAACATGTTTAAAAAAAAATATAATTAGAGGCTGTGTTGTGCTGAAGTTAAGGTTGTGTCGGCATGATTCATATGGAGACAGATGTCACATCGTTACTTGCATTTCTCAACTATGAGTAAGAATGTGAGCGTAGCATTAGTGAATAGTGTCTGTTATCATTTTTTCACAGCTTTTAATGCACCATATTGAATTGCCCTGTCACTAAATACACACTACCATCCAAAAGTTTGGGAGCGGTAAGATTTTTATGTTTTTGAAAGTAGTCTCTTCTGCTCACCAAGGCTGCATTTATTAGATCAAAAATACAGTAAAAATAGTAATTTCATGAAATATTATTACCATTTAAAATAACTGTTTTCTATTGTAATATAGTGTGCAATGTAATTTATTCCTGTGATCAAAGCTGAATTTTCAGCATCATTACTCCAGTCTTCAGTGTCGCATGATCTTCAGAAATCATTTTATATATATTATTTATTTATATATACACTAGAAAAGAGCACATGCATACCCCAGGCCTGACAGCTATTTTAATAACAGTTTTACTGCCTTCACAGCTGAACTAGAGTCAACAGAGTTACAAGTATTGCAGTAAATCTTACCACTGACATTGGTGCTTTGGTCTCAGGAACAAGATTACCCAGAATGCATTTCAGTGTTTAGCACAGATGAAATCAGTCACTTCATTATGACGTGTCTGGGAGGAAACGTTCAGTGTGTTTATCTAGAAGATTTGCACTCTACTGCTATCTTATATACACCAGAACTTACAGTTGTCATGATATATAACTACAGGATCCCATCTAGTTAGAAACGCATTTAACAAACAGTAGTGACAGCATTACATCAGCATGTCTAGTGGTCGACCAAAATGTGAATGTTTTTCATTGCTAATGCAGACTCTGTTCAAACATTTGGGGTCAGTAAGAACGATGCACTATTGATCGAATGTGACAGTATAAACACTTAGAATATTACAAAAGATTTCCATTTCAAATAAATGCCATTCTTTTGAACTTTCTGTTCATCAAAGAATCCTGAAAAATAAAATGAATCACGGTTTCCACAAAATTATGAAGCAGCGGAACTATTTTCAACATTGATAATAATCAGAAATGTTTCTCGAGCAGCAAATCAGCATATTAGAATGATTTCTGAAGATCATGTGACACTGAAGACTGGAGTAATGATGCTGAAAATACAGCTTTGATCACAGAAATAAATTACATTTTACTATATATTCACAGTGAAAACAGTTATTTTAAATTGTAATAATATTTCACATTTTTACAGTATTTTTGATCAAATAAATGCAGCTCTGGTGAGCAGAAGAGACTTCGTTCAAAAACATAAAAAAATAATTGACCCAACAGTTTTAAACAGTAAACAATTCAATGATAGCAAATAAGATGGAATTAAAATTGGTGAAGTTACTTATTTAACAGTATTTACTTATTTCACACACACACAAAAAAAAAGTGTATTATACATTAATATTCATTTACTGGTAGTCTGAAATTACCACTTCTGACAAACAGGCACTTGTAAATTAATGCACAAGCCGAGCATCTCAGATAAATGAGAATGCCAATGGGAAGCTCAGTCCAGGTGTATTAAAACCAATGCCAACCTCAATCATTTTAAAGTGGGGAAATATCAGCCAATGCATTGGTTTATCAGAACCTGTTGGATAATAACACTGTCACTTCTGCATGATTCCAGCGCTCTAAAGTTTACAAAAGCAGAATTTAAGTGCATGCAACAGCTGATCTTCTTAGTTGCACAGTGCTTGTGAACAAGCACAAAATCACACTCTTATGAGGACAAATCTGCTCAACTTTAAGACTGCTATTGTAAAAGGATCATACCAAGATCTGCAACTCCTAAACACAACATTCCCTTTTGCTTTTCTGTTTTTCCATACATATTGAAGTTGATTACAGCGACAGGAAAATTACATGAAATCAGATCCTCGTAAAGAGAGTTTTTACTTTCTGGAAAGTGCACCGATTTGCAAAAACAACCTCGTCTTTATGTGCTATATAAGCATGAGCACACAAACCCAGTGTTCAGGCTGCATCATCTGACACATCTGTGATGGTCATTTGACACTACATGAACTTCTGAAGACCGGCTGATGCCTTCATTTCAGTTAGACGCATCTAATTTTAACTGGCTTTCACTTGCTTTAACAATCACTAGCCGTGTGCAAGAGCTCAACCAAATGCCTGAGCTTTGAGTTCAGCTTCCTGTCCAACCAAATCAGTCCTGATGAAGACGAGGAGGCTTTTATCAGACATTCCCAGCAGAGCACCACCCTGGGCGGCACGCCAACGCTAGCGGATTCCCGAGCCGACAAACGCTTCTGCATTTCACATCGACAGTCAAGCTCTGACAAGCTGGTTTTTTTCTCTCGTCCACTTCCCTCTTCTCAAGCTGTATGTGTGAAACACAAAACTGTCATGCAGACCTAAAAAAGCCTCATAACCTTTGATCTGATGCGAGAAACATCAAGACGACGTTTTCTTTGTCCTGTTAGACATTAACATGTTAGCTATAACCTTTCAGTTATGCATGAATGAGGCATGCAGCAAAATAAATATCATCTTGAGGTAGTTGAATCAGCTCAGAAAGATCATATTTACAGGCTGAAAGCACAGGAACGACACCATAAAGTGCTAATTTTGGAATTAAGGGCGTATCAGTGAGAAAACACAATAGATGCAGTGTTAGTAAATTTGTTAAAACGAATGAATTTTTAAAAAAAAAATCATAATAGAACTAGCCTAGTTGCATGCACAACATACAACAGCATTGATCAAATATGATAGAATAAAATGATTCGGTTTACAGCACCTTCATAAACTGAATTTAAAAACACAGCTGATCTTACAATTCTGACTTTTCTTCTGAATTCTGTTTACATCTCACTATTCTGTTTCTTTTTTTTTTTTTTGTTTCTGCCAGGGAATAAAAATAAAAAAGGTAACTGCAACTTTTTATCTCACAATTGAGAGTTTATAGGCCTATCTCATAATTCCAACTTTTCTTCACAGAATTGTGAGTTTTTATTGTAATTTATATCTTGTAATTCTCAGGGGGAAAAAATGTGAGATATAAATTCTGAGAAATAAAGTCCAAATTGCGAGATGTTAACTCACAAGCTCATAATTGTCAGAAGGAAACTCTGAATAGTTAAGATATAAATTTGCAATTTCAAGAAAAAAATTCAAGCTTGTTTCCGCCACGGAATAAAATGAATTAAAAAAAAAAAAGGTAACTGACTTTGTATCTCAAAATTCAGACTTTTCTTCTGAATTGTTTTTATACCAATTCAGGAAGTCAGAATTATTATTATTATTTTTTATTCTGTGGTTGAAAAAGGCTTCCACACATTTCTACATTTATTTCTTAATATTAATAATGTTCAATTTTAATGAAAAAAAAAACTTTTTTGTGAGTTTTTATCTGAATTTGTGAGTTTTTGAGATCTTGCAATTCTGACTCTATAATTTATTTTTATAAGCCTGAGATATAAAGTCACAATTATTTATTAATTTTTTTTACCCATGACATAGGGCTGGACAATAATTCAATATCAATATGTATCGCGATATAATTTTTCAATAACGGTGACATGATTTTTAAACACATTTCCGATATTTCGATATACATTACCAGTTTCCCATACATTGATTTATTTGTGCCGTTTGACTTCGTTGAATAAACATGAGCACTGCACGTTTCAAAATCATAACACGGCGCGGGTGTTTTATATGAATGTATCTCTGAAGGGAATTGACTGTCTTCAGAAAAGTTTCGATGGCATTTTCATTTGATCTGATAAAGTAGCGTTCATGAGCGGAGCTGCTTTGATTACAGCCGTTACTGGGGAAACCGCTAGTTTTATCACTCTAAAAGCGCCTCCTGCTGGCAGAGAATGAGTTTTCATTTTAAATAAGCCCGTCTCCAGCAACACTTCCAGTTTTTGTTGTTGTTCAATTTTTTTGTTTTCTGCAGCGACTCGGAGCACTTTTCATACCCTTTTTTCTGGCTGAAGCACATTTGTTTCAATCTATAAGAATAAATTATATCGTATCGACCGAAATTAAGAAATATATCGTGATATCAATTTTGGCCATATCGTCCAGCCTTACCATGACAGAAACAAGCTTCCATAGAAAATGCTGTGTCTGAGCAATAGCAATAGTGATGCAAAGTGTACTGATAAGATTTCATCCTGACCACTGGAGATATGTGAAATTTAATCACTATCCAATGGGCTGAAAACATTCTTCATTAACTAAATAACAACCCATATCAATTTTGCTGTTGGATGGAAAAGCATCAGTGTGATTTTAGCCATAGCGAGCATAAACAGACACACTCCGGTCCCACTGACGGCTTAAATAAAGGCTCTTTTTGGGCTTTCAGAAGGACGTGGACCATAAGATTTAACATCAGGCTCATCTAATAACCATCAGAACTAAGAAGAGCCAGAGCCCCGGCCCCCATCATGTACACCTTCTACAGAGGCACCATCGAGAGCATTCTGACGAGCTGCATCACTGTGTGGTATGGTGCCTGCAACGCTTCCTGCCGCAAGACACTTCAGCGCATAGTGAGAGCAGCTGAGAAGACCGTTGGTGCCTCTCTCCCCTCCCTCCAGGACATTTACAACACCCGTCTCACCCGCAAAGCCCTCTGCATTGCAGGTGATCCCACCCACCCAACACACAGCTTCTTCAGTCTGCTGCCATCAGGGAGGAGACTGCGGAGTCTCCAGGCCAGGACCAGCAGACTGAAGGACAGCTTCATCCATCAGGCTGTCAGGAAGCTGAACTCCCTCCCGACCTTGCCCCCC